ATTTGTAGCTTTCAAAACTGGCAATTCTGAGTACTCGTTGGACTTCTTACAAATCCAGAGCTCCAAACGTCATTAATGTCAATAAGTCTGCACAGATTCTAAACCACTGCAAATAATATTTCAGGTGTTTAAACTTCTGTTGTAGGTTAAAAAAAGCGCTGCGAAAATTTGATTTATTCGTAGCGTGAGAAAGAAAAGGATGGGGATGAATATGATTATAATGTAGATCATTATGGAGTGACTAGGATTTAATATATGCACTTAGTTAGAAGATTTAACTTAAACCCACAAGCCGTAGGAGCTCCTCTTTTAATTTACGTAATCTTCACCAGCATCGAAGGCTACAGAGTTGTTGGATGAGGCATACACAGTTGAGTGAGGGAGAGCTCGGAGCACAACGGAGACATGACACGGCACAAGGTAATGAGAGGATTTTTTTAAATTTAATGGTATACAAAAATGAATATAATTATAACAATTAACATACATAGAAGTTTTTTATAAAATTATTTTTCTAATAAAAAATTTATAATCATTTTAATAAAATATTATAGCCATCCAAGACATACTCTTATTTCTCTTTTTTCAAACATTTCAAAAATGGCACATATAATTTCATACTCAAAGAAAGGAAAAATATCAAGTATTTGTTTCAAATTTTATTAACTTCGCCTAAGTATTTACCTTTTCCATTTTTTAGAATATTTTATATTATATATTTTTTAATTAATGTATAATTAAAAATTAATTAAAAAATAAAAATTCTTATTTGAGCAATCAAACTCTTTATTCTAAGAGTTAGTAACATGTCTTAGTCCAAAATATAAAAGCTAACTAGCTAAAAAAAAAGAAATCTATCTGGCCCCAGAGAGAGAGAGAGAGGATGTTCTTGAACAAATCAATAAAAAGAAGCTTGGTCTTTGTTAAAATCGAACCAACATGAAGTTTAATCTAGATAAGAGAGACTAATCAATTGAATAAAATAGTTTAATGGATATATGCTCAACGTGCGATCCGAGGTCCGTCTTGCTATGTGAGGATGAGTAATGCCTCTCTTCTTCTATCATTAAGATTCACACTACAGGAAAAATGTCCAATACCGGCGGTTCTAACCGGCGGTTTATGGACCGCCGTTTTACCGGCGGCATGGCCGGCGGTCTTGGCCTTCGGCTTATAACGACGGCCGAACCGTGATTTTGCTACATAAGCCGCCGGTAATTAGCGACGGTCCCTAAACCGACGGTAAACTGCCGGACATCACATATGATACCGGCGATTGACCGCCAGTTGATAAGTGACTTTTTACAGGCGTGTCAATCGACCGCCGATAAAATCGCTGGTAGATGCCTAATACGACCACCCGCGCCTGGCATTTCATTTTCCGGTAAACCGCCGCAAAAAAAAAAAAAAAAACCGCCGGTACAAGTTTCCTACGCGATTTTTTTTCGCGACAAAAAACCGCCGTAAAGCCGTCAGTAGTACAAAAACACGCCGGTTAATACAGAGTAACCGCCGGCATTCGACGTTTCTGTAAGTCAAGAAGTCGTATAGACAGATCATTAATTTCTCATCGCCTTCCGCACTTACCTCATCTGATAATATGGGAAGGTGATGAAGGAACTATCGGATCTGTCTTTGCCGACTTTTCGGTTCTTACGTATAGAAGAAGAGAGGACATTTACCCCATCTTCGCAATAGTGCAAGACGACCTCGGATCGCCCGTTGACGTCCATTCAAACTATTTTGTTCATTGATAGTCATATCTGATCTAATTCAACTTCACATTTGTTCTATTTGACACATTAAGCATAATGCGTGGCCAGAAGCATGCAGCAGAAGACAATATATAAGACACGTAGCATGGCTATTATCATAGGAGGAACAAATGACATGTGTGCAGCATGTGTGTGGCGGTTAGACCTTTGACGCGGAGCCAACAGCTCGAGCCTAGATCAGAACACATTGTGGAGTCCGTTCGTGTGGGATGGCACTCGGTTCCGATCGCCAGATTTCCTGTGGATCTAGTGCAACCGGAAACTGATCACAGATCGCAATAGGCACACATGTGATCTCTTTAATCGTAAAATTTGTTCATAGGTGGAAATATTATATTATTAGTTTGATTTTAGAATTAGGTTGATTCCTAGTTATCACACAATGTGTAAATGCTTATACATAGGCACATAGAATGATGTATATGTACCTCTTGAAGCATGTGAATAAAAGGTAATTAGTTCTTGTTAGTCGTTTAGCTGACTCCATTCTTATCTTCTCAAGCTCTCTCTTGTTAAAGGAAGTTTCTCACAGAAAGCTTTCTGTCTTCAATTCTTCCTATGATGCGTATTTTAATGATGGCAAGTCTGTTTCAAAATTATATAAATGACTATTCTCTAAGTTATATATAATATTTAATTTATTAAATCTTATTGTAATAAAATTGTTACTCTATATCTTACACTTTTATTAGTAATCTAAAATGGTTACAAATTAATTTATAAATTTACTAAAATATGAATTGTTGTAATTTAATTTTAGAATTGTGCTGAAATTATTAAATTTATTAATTGAATTGTTAGACGCAAGAATAACGCGACCAATTTTTAATCTAATTAAAAAAAAGTAATAAATTATATATTATATATGAGCAAGTCATTTAAACGACTTAATTTATTAATTATTACTACTAACAAAACTCGTACAAATTTGAATGCTTATAATTTACTAACATAGTGTAATTTCACTTAATCTAATTTATTAATTTTGATCTAAAAACTATAATTAGCCAATTTAATTTATTAGTTTAATTAATTAATTTTACTATAACAAAATTTATTATTTAATTTTTAATGGCGTAAATGAGCAAGTTGGATTCCTTTTTAAGGCCATCTCCAAAACGAAAGAACATTTTTCAATTCAAAAATGTGTGAAATTTCAAAATGCGCGATTCATCTCCAATCGAACTCCATTTTGGGAAGATAACGATGTTTCTCTTCTTTTACGCCTTTCTTGGCAAGTTCGCTAGAGACAGAAAAATATCGAATGCATGTGAACAGGCAGCGCCAAATTGACGTCCCACTGTCACCCCGCAAGAAATAGCGAAAGTTTTTCTTCGCTAGAGTTCCGGAGCGACGACCATTCAAGCTTTGAAGTTCTGTTAGAGATGCTCCTAAACAACATGTCTGACCAAGGAAACAATGCCTCTGAATCCGCACTCATTATCAGAGCAAATCCATCCCAAGCCTAAGACCTGGCCAATCCCATTGTGCCCGAAGACCCTTACCATGTGGATTTGCCCTATCAGATCCAATCAGTGGGCTACCCAAACAACTAACATCATTTTCTAAATTTTATTTTTGGTTTTGTTTAGTCAAATAATATAACAACAGATATCATTTTATAAAGGAGCATGTTTAATTTTTAAAAGGAGGATGTTTAATGTAATTAAGCAAAAGAAATATGATATTAAATAATTTAAAATCAGCAAAAACATCAAAGAATATTGACATTTTCTTATAATAAATGCTAATTAATTAAAGAAAATCTAAATCAATTGCTTTTCTTTAGGACAATAAGTTATTAATAATTATAAAACATTTTTAAAGCTAAACAGAGATATTCTTGCACTTCATGTGTGGGAAGTAAGCAATTCCAAAAAACATAATATGATAATTAATATTTTTTAATAATACTTTCAATTTCATCAATATTAAAAATAAGTATTTTAAATTTTTACAAAATAGTTATATTTTTAAATTAAATTACTCTCCTCCCCTTGAGCATCTTAAATAAAAAATTAGATTATGGTAGCACTAATTAAATATAAATTGTTATTTATTATTAAATAAGTCACATAAATTTTTAATATTTTATTTAATTAATATTTTCTGAAAAAAAGGTCAAATTATTGACATTTTTATTCTTTTAAATTATTAATAATCATGTTCATTCTCTTAATTATACAGTAAACATGTCACTTTTTTAAAAATTCAGCCTTTTAAAAAATTGGTAGTTTTAAAAAGAACACGTTAATTATCACAATTAGTAAAAGGAGCATATTTTTTATTAAAATTTAAGAAGGAGCTATTCCAATTTATTTTGGCACATCAGAATGCGCAAAATATTTGGGCATTCTGTGCCAATTATTTTGCGTGTTCATTTGCAAAGAGAGACAGAAGGGTGTTCAGTGGATAGAGAAAAGTGTCCAGAAGAGGATTATTATTCTGTGCAGAATCGGCGAGGGCATCCGACTAATAAAAATGTGCACGGTCACTCCATGCTCTGTACCGCTCGGTACCATGGTACCTAGCACTTTCAAATGTGAGAACTGTCCAATATTCGAACAGAATAATAGCTCACAAGAAAGAGAAAGAGGTTGAGAGAGAGAATAATGCAATGTGCGGTCTGCCTCTCCTCTACAAAAATTATATATTATTTTTATTATTAAAGAATTGTTTGTATGTTTACTCTTTTTTTCTAAAATTTTCATGAAAACAATAAACATATAAAATTCTTAATTTAATTTAATTATATTATAAATTTAAGTTATAAATTTTAATTAAATTAATTTATTAAGTTATTAATTTATAAATTTAATAACTTTAGTTAAAATTTTAACTTAATTACTATAAATACGTTATATTTTTAATTTAATTTAATTTTATTTTAATTAAATTAAAAACTTTATTTAAACTTATAACATAACTAACATGTAAGTCATAAATTTTATAAAATTTAATATATTATAAAAATTAATTAAAATTTATAACTATAAAAATTAATATTTTATAAAAAAATCATTTGAATATCTATGACTACAAGAATTTAAATATTTATAAACTAGAAGATTTAAAATTTTAAACATTTATCTATTTAAATAAAATAAAATTATAAATATTAATACTAAACTAAATTATGTAATATTTATAAAAATTAATTTTAAAAACCTCTACCACTGCTCTCTATTTCTCTCAACCAATAACTTTCTCTCTCTTTTAAAGTTCATTAAAAGAGAGAGAAAGTGATTGGTTGAGAGAAAGAGAGGCAGCAGTAGAGGTTCTTATCCATAACATGCCAAAAAATGAATCGTTTCTTACTTTGTGGAAAAACTACGTCTACTAGGGTTTACGCTTTTTCCTCCGTCTGACCGCCTTTGGGGTGGCTTCCGCCTGCGGGAGAGGTCTGCTCCTCTCCCCTCTCTCTCGGATGGATCTTAATCCGTCAGATTTTCCACCTATCGCCGGCTCTTCCCTTCTTGGCGCCGCTCCTCCACCCCGCACAGGTATGTCTTATGCTGATACCGCCGCTAGCTGCTACCTCTTCAAAACCTGATGTTTTTCCTATGGACTTCATCCCCCCTCTCCCAAAACTTTCTTTTGTTGCCAGGGACCTCTGAAGGGGCATCTCTCTAGACACTCTCGCTTGTGGGGTATTCCATTGGTCAGCGGCCATATTACGAACGCCTACTAGCAGCCATGAAAAAGGTCTGGCCTTTGAAAGGTGCGATCTCTCTGATTTCTTTGGCGGATGGTTTTTTTTCTTATCAAGTTTTCTTCTCAAGAGGATTATGATGTAATTTCGTCCGGAGGACACTAGTTTCTACTTGGGAAACCATTTATTTTACAGAAATGATCTCCCAAGTTTAAACCTAAACAGGATGAAGATGCCTTTATTCCCATATGGATAAAAATTGTGGATCTCCCTCTCGCTCTTTGGACGCCTTATGGCATCTCCAAGATCGTTAGCTTCATTGGTATTCCTCTGTCTGTTGACTCATTAACTGCGAAACGCTCCTATTTGACGTTTACCCGAGTCTGTGTTCAAATTTTAAAAGATTATTTACTTCCCGATATGATCCCCATGGAAATTGATGGGGAAGACATGTCTCTAAAAGTCATCTATGACTGGAAACCCACACGGTGTGAAGGATGTCGCTCTCTTATTCACCCTTTCTCGCAGTGTCCCGCTAACCCCAACCCTAACTATTTATCCGGCAGCATCATCAAACCAAATGCTCTTTCCTCCGGAGCAAATTCATCAAACCAACTATTCACTGCAAATTGCTCCATTTTGTTCGACTCCACACGCTTCACCTGGATCTACTTAATTCACACCAAAGCTGAAGCTTTAACTCATTTCATACACTTGAACAAACTTATTCAAACAAAATTTAACTCAAAAATATAGGCATTACGCTCGGACGGGGGAGGTGAGTACACGAGCCAACTACCAATCAACCTAGACGTCCTCTACAACCAGTTGTGCAGTGAGGAAATACACCGGTAATCCGAACTTAATCGAGAGATCACGCCGACATCTGACACGGCTGCCTTCTATGCCTCCCGCAACAACACTTCTCGTGGCAGATCCTCTGCTCGTGGTACCAGGGGCAGAGGAGCTTCTTTCAGACAAAGTCCCTCAACCAATCGTTCGCCTAACGATGCCCCCCGACCCACCTGCCAAATCTGCGGCAAGCAGGGTCATGTTGCCTCAGTGTGCTGGCATCGCTTTAACTCCTCCTACAACTCAGGATCCAACTCTACACCCCGAGCGTTATACTCTGGTCCCTCCTCCACCATGTCCAATGACTGGGTCTTGGACTCAGGTGCTACTGCACACCTCACTCCAGACGCCTCCCAAATGATAAATTCCAGTCAGTATGCCGGATCCGATACGATCTCGACGGCGAATGGCAGCTCCCTTCCTATCCACAACACCGGTCAAGGCTTTCTTCCTCTCCCTGACTCAACCCGTAAGCTCTACCTTCATAAAATTCTTCACGTACCTCTCCTCTCTCACAACCTTCTCTCCATTCATAAATTAACTACTGACAACAAGCTCCCAATTATTCCTATCTTCGGACCTTCAGATGCCTTTGCTTCCCTTGGCTACAACCCACCACTCCGTCCAAGCTACATCCTCGATCACACTAGTGCATCTTCCTCGACTACTCCCCCATACACAAAGGCTATCGTTGCCTCAATCTTACAACGTCCAAACTTCACATATCCCGTCACGTTATATTTCATGAATCGGTTTTCCCATGTCGAACTACAACCCCATCCTCATCTTCCCCTCCCACATCATTTCCCCTATATACCTCCACATCTCTCCTACTCCCAATCTCTACGACCATCACTTCACCCACACTCAACATTCCCACTGCTCCCACCTCAACTATGTCTCCCAGCCCGCCAACTTCTTCACCTTGACCTTCTCCTTCACAATCCTTCAACTCCCAAGCTCCTACCCCACCGATCACCAACCCACGACCTCAGCCCTCCATTCATCCAATGCAGACTAGACTTCGCTCTGGCATTCACTGTCCCAAACAGATACTCGATCTCCTTACCACCACCAAAGTCACCTCCACACCCTCCACATACAATCAAGCCTCTCAATCCCCTCACTGGCGAGCTGCCATGTCGGCCGAATTCATGGCCCTTCAAAAACAGGGCACCTGGTCCCTCGTCTCACCTCCCGTGAACACTACTATCCTCGGCTGCAAATGGACATTCAAACTCAAACACAATCCGGACGGCTCCGTCGAACGGGTATAAGGCGAGATTAGTGGCCCAAGGATTCAACCAGGAATTCGGCATCAACTACCGGGAAACCTTCAATCCGGTTGCCAAAATGCCCACTATCCGGATACTCCTCCTCATCTCTCTGCACTTCGGATGGCCAACCTTACAGTTCAACATTTCGAACGCCTTTTGCATGGAGACCTTCATGAGGACATTTATATGCAGCAGCCGCCTGGCTTCCCGGACAACCACTCACGTTTGCAAGCTGCACAAGACCATCTATGGTCTGAAACAAGCTCCCCGGGAATGGTATAATACTTTTACCAAATCCCTACTCACATTCGGCTTCCAGTTCAGCAAGGCAAATCCTTCCTTGCTCACCCTTCGCAATGGCAGCGTCAAACTCTTCTTATTGATCTACGTCGATGATCTCCTCATCACCAGCAACGACAAGAGCACTCTCACCAAGCTCCTTGATCACCTGAATCGATAGTTCTCCCTTAAACAGCTTGGGACAATCTCACAATTTCTGGGAATTCAGGTGTCTCCCACTACAACAGGCTTTCTACTCCATCAAACACAATACGCTCTTGATTTAGTTGAGTCAGCCGGCCTGCACCATAGCAAGCCAACTCAGACACCAGCTGCCCTCTGGTCCACTCCAACCACAGCTGATTTTGCTCTGTATTTCAATCCGCACTAGTACAGACAACTGGCAGGCTCATTCAATTACCTGACCATTACAAGACCGGACATTGCCTACGCTGTCAACTGCATCTGTAAAAAAATGCATTGTCCCACCGTAGCTGACTTCACCGCCCTCAAACGCCTGCTTCGCTACGTCCAAGGCACGGCCTCCTTCGGTCTTCCTCTCCAACCAAGCTCTTTCCAGCTCACCACCTACTCCAACGCTGACTGGGCTGGAGACTCTCTTGATCGCAAATCCCTCACTGGATTCTGCACCTACCTCGGCACAAGCTTGATTTCCTGGTGCGTAAAGAAGCAGACTACCTTCGAGAAATCGTCCACCGAAGCCGAGTACAGGGCCCTCTCCTCATCCACCTCAGATGTCATCTGGCTTCGGTGCCTACTCGCTGACTTCGACATTCATCTGGACAAACCAACTCCGATCTTTTGCGACAACACCTCAGCAATCGCACTGGCTCACAATCACGTGTTCCATTCCCGAACCAAGCATATCGAAATTGATTACCAATTTATCAGGCATCACATTGACACCGGAGCTATGATCATTCACCACATCAATTCGGAAGACCAGCCTGCCGACATACTCACTAAGCCTCTCTCGACCCCTCGCTTCACTAATCTCACGACCAAGCTAAGCATTCGCTCCTCGAATCCTCAGCTTGTGGGGGGCTGTGAAGACACACGTGGCTTGGCACGTGACCAACCAACTAAGCCGGCCGATGCGTCTCTCCACCAACTGACGCACAGTGCTCAGACTGGCACCAATGGCCACTAACGGCTTGTGATCATTACGCATCTCATCTACTCTATATATAATGTACCCAATAGAATGCAAACTAATGAAATGAAATCACTAATCATCATCTTCTTGCTTGGGCTTTCTATTCCCTGCTGGCTTGTGATCATTACGCATCTCATCTACTCTATATATAATGTACCCAATAGAATGCAAACTAATGAAATGAAATCACTAATCATCATCTTCTTGCTTGGGCTTTCTATTCTCTGCTGCTAACGCCTTGCAGGTTCTTCACTTAAAGTTATTTAATATTCAGCTTCCTTTTCTTAATTATCCACTTTTTTTTGGGACATTTAGGTCATTTAAGGCAAACTCATACACACAACGCATACACAAAGACTCGAACCCAAGACCTCTTAGTTGGAGCATAAGGTCTCAACCAACAAATTTGAGACGTTACAAACTCTCTCTCTCTCTCTCTCTATATATATATATATAATATTGGTTCTTCCACTGTCATTCTCTCAACGACTCACATCACGTCAGTGAAGATTGAGGACTTACTACCTCTAGTACTCTCTCTCCTCTCTTCTCACCAATCTTGGACAAATTTCCGCAGATTGGTTGGTTGCAATGTCTGTGTCTATTTGTGACATTCCTCTACCTACTGATCTCAATGATGCTGGGCGCTGTCCCATCCCGAGATCCCTTTTGACTTCGACTTCATTTTTTGTATGTTTTAAGTTCTCTTTGTTTTCTTATTAGGCTCTATTTTTTTACTTTGTAATTTCTTTCATTAATATAAAGCCTTGCCTCAAATTTCCAAAAAAAAAAAAAAATCTTAACGGTTGGGTTGTTACTTGTCACCTGTCAAGCTAATCGAATGCGCCCGCCAAAAGTAGGATCTAAAAGCTGGAATGGGCAAAATCTTCAAGAGTAACTAGATATATAGAAAGAGGTCGAGTCCAAACTGATCCTAGATGTTATGTTCTAGAGTCCGCACATTCTTCCAATCTGCTAACTTCTTTTCTTTTTCTCTTTTTGTTATTTTAGCTTTATAGATTTACGTCTATATAGTGATAGCAATCTCTCAACTGTGTCGCCATTCACTGGGGTGATTTGCAAGGAATTCATGAGCCAGAAGAAACCGAACTCACCAGAACGGTTTTGAGCACCGAAGGGTGGCTTGAACTTTTATATTAGCTAGATGAAGGAAATATCACAATATAGGATTTCTTATTTATATCTAGTTAAACAATAGATTATTATGAAACTATCTTTGATATAGCTCGGTAAGGGTTCGCATCTTTATTAACCTTAATTTCAAATAAATCCATGTTTTATATATATATTAATTTTAGTTATATTTATCATATTTTAATTAATTATAAATATCAAAATAATAATATAATATAAAACTAGATTAATTATAATTTAAAATTTATTAATTTTATAAAAATATACAATAAAACTGTCCAAATATAAGGGTGTAATTTTGGGTCACGGTCGGTTCGGTAAACCAATGACCCGGGTTCAAACCAGGTTGACCCAAACCCGATCCGGGTAAGGGGAAAACGGGTTGGAAATCCGAACTGGACCCGACCCGGGTTTCGGTGATTGACCCGACACGGACTCGGACGCGCGATGGCACGAACTCGGACTCGACGCTGGACGCATGCAGGCTGCCAGGCAGCGGCAGACGCGCGGGTGCGCGATGGCACGGACGCGCGTGGGCAACGCAGAGAGCGCACGGGCAGAAGCCTGGGTTACGTGGAGAAGGGTGGGCGCGCGGGCAGCCGCTCGGTCAGCCTAGGGGGCGCGGTAACGTGCTGGCAGGTGCAGGCAGGCTGGCAGCTTTGTGGTAGGGGGCAGGGCAGCAGCACGGGTAGGGTCGGGTTGGGTCCTCGGGCAGCCGGGCAGGGGGCGGGTAGGGTCGAGCAGGTCCACGGGCAGCTGGACAGACGTTTTAAACGGGTTTGCGGCCGTACCCGACACGTTTTTCAAACGGATCGAATCCGGGAACCCGAACCCTACCCGTTTTGAAATCGGGTCGGGTCCAACCCGGATTTTTCGGGTCGGGTCCAGATCGGATTTTCGTGTCGTGTCAAATATTGACACCCCTACCATTATAAATTATCATAACATATTTAATTCATGAAATCCTAATCATCTGTATAAAAATGTGTTTAGCATAGATATATAACAATCATCTTCTTTTTATATTATATTAGGTTAGAAAGATTGTGTGCTTTTTGCATTAAAATATTGATCTTTTTCAAAAACTAAAAAAAATACTTTCTATAGTTGCAAGAAATTATGTGTCAAATATGCAAAGTTTGGAAGAAGAGAGAAAAGGGCCTTGGGATAGTTGAAGCTAAGCTTATCATCTCTAAATTACCTATTTTCGACCGACCAGTCTCCAAAAAATTTACTAGTAGAAATTCCATCGCTCAGCTATGCCAATTTTATTGTTGGAAACTTGGAATGGCTCTTGACTCTTGTAGCAATATAAATTATAAAATGATAAATCTTTATTTGATTGCTTTCATACTGATACAAATTGACCTATATAAAGGCAAGCAAAAATGCAATAATGGAAATATATAAAATAAAATATTCTCATTAATGAAAAAATATTACATGAATAAATACTATATATTATTACTATAAACATATATGACAATGAATGAATCAAATAACTCTTGGTTCACTACAAGAAAAATGCTAAATACTGATCGAAATTTTAGGACGGAAATCCCGGCTGATTTCCGAAGGATTTCTGAAGAATTTTAGGGCGGAATTTTAATTTTTTTTAAAATAACTAATTAACTAACTTATATTAATTAATTAGCCAATTTAAATTAATTTAGTTATTAATTAACTAATAATTTAATTTAATTAATTAACTAATTAAGTAATATTTATTTTTAAATTATTAATCTTATTATTTTATGAATTTTTGCTCAGTATGATTTTCTACTGCCTACCGTCAGGATTTGACACTTTCTGAATTAAGTTCAATTATATTTTATTTACCGCAATGCATTGAAAATGAATGTGAATTTATAATTAAGTAATAGCTGGTCATATAGTGTTGTGATAATAATAAGCATGTGAGGGAAAACAAGTAAAAACTAGTTAATCACTGACATTAACTGGAGACTAATTGACCTATATAAGATGGTGGGCCGACATGTTTTCCTTTAAATAATGTGGTTGTGTTATCCTCTACTGATTCACTTGATACTGACTGAGAGTTATAAGGAGATGATTACTATACCGATTGACAAAAAGTAATGACTTTATTTATTAAGCCAATGTGTTATTGATACTGACAGTGATATTGAAAAAATAGCACTTTAGCAAGGACTTACTTGTTTATTATGATTATTAATGCATGCTATTGAATCAATGCCACTTTACAACTTTAGTATCACTTTCACCCATTATGCTGATGTTACTAATATTTTATTGTTATTAATATATTGTTCACGTGATATATATTGAGCATGTACAGTGGACACTGACACTAAGTTGATACTAGTATGATATTTATGAGCATGTGATACACAAATACAATTATTTTTATATGATTTTACTGCATTGATATGATTTTAATAGTCTTTATCGATATTTTGATTTGATATTTTATATGATTTCTCTATTGATTGTAGTATTGATAAGATGATTTCTGTAGTGATTCGACACATGTACTGATTTATCAAATTCTCTATTGTATTGCCATAAGATCATATGAATACTACTATTATAATTTGATTGCTCACATGTATATTACTTCTTTGCATTGTGTTGAGTTCAATTATATGTTTTGGTTACTTGTTGGGCTTATGAGCTCATTATATGTGGTTAAATATTTTCATGTTAGGGCAGATGATCAAGCATGTGAGATTGACCAGGATTTCATATGCTCTATTTTTTTTAGCTATTCTTTTATACTCATGATAAAGAAGTTATTGTATGATTGTGTAGACCCTAAGTAGTGTGTACGATTATTGAGAATGAATATATATGTATATATTGATGTTTTGATAACTAGCCTTATTTTTGTGGATATTTATATGGATAAAAGAAATTAGATATCTCTACTTGTTATTAATTATTAATAGATAAAAGAATAATGTTTCTAAATTAGATTATGGGTATCATAATTAGTATTAGAGCAATTATATTAAAATAATTAATTATTACTATAACTATATATAAGAATTGATTGTAAGTTAGGTAGAATGGGTAATTTAAGGTAAATTATTTTTCATATATAATTGATTGCATATGTGAATAACATGTTCCATGAACTGCATGACTATTTGATTTTTTGATGAATTTTAATTAAAATTTTTATCATACGGATTTGATTTATATCTGTTGCGTCCTGGAATATTCGCGGCGGTAGAGAAATATATGGTTTAACGTCTTAGCGTTGTACGAAGATCCAGCACACAATCAGATAAGTGAGAGGGTGGAGCCTGGTAGAAGATTTGTTCGTCTCATTGTAAGGAATTTATATCTTATTTCTGATTCAAATAATATTGTGTTTTTTATATTTTTTTGATCAAATTTATATTTTCATTACTAAAAAATGAGAATAATTTTATTTTGAAAAAACTTTTACTAAGTAAATTTTTCTATGTTATAAAGATTGAGATTATAAATATTTTGAGTATATTTTATAAAAAATTTCCTTGGTGATTTAAAAAAAATGTACCTATTCTAAAATTTATTTTGAGATTTAAAAATAATTCTTTAATTCAATAAAAGCTTCAGACTGTTATTATTTACAATCACTAGTAATTTGATTAATTTTTAAAAATATGAATTTTTTCTCGGTAGGGTTTTATGTTTCCTGCGATCATGACATTTTGACACTTTCTGAATTAAGCTCAATTATAATTTATTTACTGTAATATATTAAAATTGAATGTGAATATAAATGACTAATACCTGGTCTATATCACTAATATAATATTGTAATAATAATATGTGTCTGGGTTAAAATAAGTAAAAACTTTTTATTCACTAACGTTAGCAGGAGACAAATATTGACCAGTATATATAGGATGGTGGGCTGACTGACATTTCTTTAAATATTGTGGTTGTGT